AACTACCGGTAGTACTGATTTTTGGCAGTAGACCAGTGAAATTAGGTGACTTATAGTCATTTCTGAATTTGCTATGGTTGATTAGCTGCGGTAGCCATTTTGAATTAGGTTGACGCTTGCAAAATTCATTAAAAATCAGTCCACTGGTTGATTGAATTGCTAATAGACAGATAAACACATGCGTCAGGTTATGTACTTGCTTGTGTCTGCCTGTATACGGAACATAAACGTATGTGAAGTTTTAATGAAGAAGGCAGATGTTCATTAAAATAGAAATGTAAAGATGACATGCATTTTAGGTGTAACAAATACAATATTTTATAGCAGTGTGTCACATTTGCTTAATAAAAGCCATACAAAATTCCTAACTGCATGCTAATTGTGGCCTACTTCCTGCTGAAGACACATGCTGAGCGACTAACAGTGGAGAAGTTTCGACCCCGTCATGTGAGTGGCACCAATATGGATTTTCATTTGAATAATTAATGCTTCCCAATTTCACACTAATGGTTGAGAGGTATCTGAATGGTATCATTAGCCGCTAATAGAGATTCATGGCGAAATGACAGCGATATTTTTTGCAATATCCCTCCCTTCCCACGCCACCCTGTCTCTTCCCTCCAACTCATCCAAGGAGCTGAAGAGTGAAAACCCCTTAACTCCATCCCATCAGCTTTTTAATTAATGACACAGATTACAGGGCTTTGAATAGCATATGCCTAAGGATGGGGGAGGACACAACGGCCCACCATCTCTCTTTCTCTGAATTCCCTCTTCTTTTCCTCTATTTTTTCTTTTTTTTTTTTGGTTCTATCTTTTCCCTCGGCCGGCGCTCATGTGTCTCCCAAAACCATCATTACAGGTTCCATTTCTCAACAGCTTTTTTTCTATTTTCTACCCCCCTTTCAACCACTTGTCTGCTCTCTTTGTGCTGCCTTCAGCTACTTATTTAATCTCCTCCCCATAGTGTCTCTTTTCTGTCTCCATCGCTCTCGCCGTCCCTCCTGCAGGGGAACGGCTTTGCTATCTTATAACCTTGACAATGCAGGATGCTGTCTGTGTTCGAGCTTCTTTTTTCTTCTGTCTGTGGAAATGTGTGTGTTTGTCTCACTTTGAGGGACAGGTGCGAGCGAGGGGGGTGGGGTGGTACTTGACGCTCAACCAATCTGCTACCCCACATGGGACAGACCAGCAGAGGGCGAGAAGACGAGTGCAAGTCAAGGAAAAACAAAATTAAATACGTTTTTGTGGAACATGGCAGCAAGTGGAGCAGAAATAACCTAATTGGACCTTCTAAAATACGCCTAGGTTTTCAAGGGCTTCCAATTTGTGGAGGAGAAAAAGAAGGATGGAGGGAAAGATGGGCAACTGTGATAAACGTCTAGTAAGCATGGGCGGAATGTGATTCTAACAATAGGATAACAACAAAAGATTCTATCGTTTCTTAGTTTTAAACCAATATTTAAAAATACATTACATGATTAAAATGGTTTCATTTCAAAACAGAAATCAACTTATATAACTGATACTGCTTGAATAACACACACTGCTAGACAAGTCAGTATACAATAGCTTTATTAATATAATTATATTATTATCGCCACTGAAAATGAAGGAGCAATGTTTTCATGTGTGTTAAATTTTGGAGTCCACTCCAATGAAAATGGCCACCACAGATAACTGATCATGGAAAACACAAACAATGGATTTAATTCAATAAATTTTTCAGCTACTGAGCTAAATGGTATGGAAGTAGCTTTCATCGCCAACAAATACCGAGCTTTTCTTACAGGGCCGTAACTTCGGTAAGAAAAGGTGAATCATGAACGACCAACAACGTGTGGTGCCTCATCGATCTAAAATGCTGCAGCCAGAGTCTTAACTGGAGTTAATAGGAGAGATCATATCTCTCCAGTTTTAGCTTCTCTCCATTGGCTCCCTGTCAAGTCCAGAATCAAATTAAAAATCTTACTTCTAACCTACAAAGCTCTCAACAACCTAGCTCCATCTTATATTACAGATCTTACTGTTCCATATTTTCCTAACAGAACATTTAGCTCTCAGACTGCAGGCTTACTTGCAGTTCCTAGGATTTCCAAAAGCAGAATGGGAGGAAGATCTTTCAGTTATCAGGCTCCTCTCTGGTGGAACCAACTTCCAGTTTCTGTCCGTGAGGCTGACACATTGCCCAGTTTTAAGACTGGGCTTAAGATTTTCCTTTTTCCATAAATCCTATAGTTAATCGGATTGGTTTCCTGACCTACTCCTTATCCTATGCTGCTATAACCTTAGGCTACTAGAGGACAAATTCACCTCACTTCATCAAATGAACAGTTATAAATACATACATATGAATAGTTTGTATTTTGTATTTATTCTTTCTTAACATGTGATTTCTGTCTTTTTGTCTTTCCTCCTAGAGAAAACCTGATGGCCTCCATACTAGACCTGTCATTGTGCGTTTGTTTTCTCCTTCCTGGCCTCTCAAACCCAGCCAGTCAAAGCAGATGGCTTCTTGTCCTGAGCCTGGTTCTGCTGGAGGTTTCTTCCTGATGGAGTTTTTTCTTTCCACTGTTGCCTCCGTGCTTGCTTAGGATCGGAGACTGCGATGAAGTGAAAACTCAAAGCAGTCTGTTTGCTCATTAGAGAAATAACGTTATTAACTGACTTTATATGTATGTGAATGTTTCTGTTTAGTGTCCTGAGACGACTTCTGTTGTGATTTGGCGCTATACAGTATAACAAACTGAACTGAATTGAATAATACTTCCCACCAAGTTTAATCAAAGTCCTTTAAACACTAATGGTTGAACAACTCAGGCTACAATATGATAAGACCCTTCAGGTGTGTAAAAATTAGTGTTTCACAATTATGATTTTTTTTTTTATCGCAATAAAATGGCAAAATGTGATTTTTCTAGAAGTCTTGTCCTACACAGTACTGTTTTGCTTGAATCATTAAAAAATCTTTGTGTAACTTTAAACTGATTATTTACCCATAGGTCTAGTGCAGACGTGGGAAACATACAACCCGGGGGGCAAAAGTGTCCCTTGAACAATCTCCATTTAGCTCACAAAAGTCTTAATTGAAAAGAAAAAAAGCTTTTAAAAGATTAATGGAAACCAGCATTTTATCAATGAAACTTAGGAAAGTTTAAATTAAACATCTTGGACAAATACATCAAAAACCTTTGGAT